CAGCGGCGAACGCGGGGTGGGGAGGAGGTGCGGTGCGCAGCGTGTGTGGAGCCGTGAATAGAGCCAACTAATCGGAAGCCAATTAATCGATGATTGAAATCGTAGACAGCTTCTTCAATAATCAATTATAATCGATTTAGACGATTAGTTGTTGCAGCGCTAGACAGCAGTGAAGCATGAAGAGGGTAAGTAGAGCTTGGCACATTATTTATTTAATAGAGAACAAGGGGGTGGGGGGGGCCTGAAAATAAAAAATATTGGAGTTTTACTTTAACAATATCAAACTTTAACATATTGTTGCTGATTAGCAGGTTGTGCCATTCTTAGTTGTGCCATTATTTTCGCCTCCATTTTTTAAATAATATTGTTTTATAATATTGTAAACTGTTATTCGGACTTGTATTTAAAAAATGTACTCATGGAACCTGGCTAAAGTCCCTTTATAAGCACACAACCCAAATACCGGTGGTGGTCAACTTTATATAGGGGGCTTCTAGTGTAGGAACTGAAATCATCGAAAGGCCACACATAATATTCACTGAATATAGTGCTCTAGAAAGCTCTCAGACTGCAGGCATGCAAGAGGAGATAATATGACACTCAGGAGTTGTTGGAGAGAGGCTATATGCATCAGGAGAATGAAAAAGACTGGAGACACATTACATGAGACTGGTAAAGATCACTGCTATGAAGGTCCCATTTAATATTTCTTTCATCATGAAAACATTAAAAGAGAAAAGAGACAGATACCACAGAAAAGTAGTATAGCATGTAAGAAAAAAAACAAGCCATTTAACTACTTGAATTCTGTTGAAAGACTATTTCACTAACTAGTCTGAGTAAGGGCTACAGGTCTGCCACCGGGGCCATAGACCCTTAACATTGAGCGCCTTTTTCTTTTAGTAGTTATTTGTCCAATCTGTTTAGTTGAAAAGACAAAGAGATCCAACAATTATGGGCAGTCAACTGATCTTCCAGGGTTTTTTTCAGAACCTTCTTTATCCTTATTTTTTTTACTTTAAATGGGAAACTCCTTCAACGAAGAGAAGCAAGAATTACCAGTATACACTGCCCTAATATCAGTGATAGGTGGAAATTACACATGTAAATATCCTATTAACTTTCTAGTTTGGGAGATAATAGTTGCAAGCACATTACCTGTTTTACAATCACAGTACAGACCTTTTATGCATAGCAGCAAAAGTAACCCTTTAAGTACCAAAGAGGCTTTTACAGTATCACACAGCATACCAGCTTATCACAAGGCTTGCCACAGAGCGTGAGTTAACAGTGCGCTTAATGAGTCTGGAGGCAAATGGCATTCAGTAAACAAAATAAATGAGTGTAGACTTAGCAACTACACAGATTTCCAATTTAATATTAGATTTTGCTTTATTCATGGTTGCCCCCCGCTGTCACCATTTTATAAAACTGTTTCATTTCAGCGGCTTCCCCTCCACCACAAATCAAAGGGTTCAAACCTTCTGCAAACGGAGATGTATAATCGATTGCACATCCCAACGTGCTCCGCAAATTGCATCAGTAACATATTGAACAACTGACAAAATACAATTGCAGAGTGTGCTAGATATTATCTTAATGGAGCCAAGTTGCAGATTTCAATAACTTTCATATCCCTCGCCCCTGAATGTAACGACAGCTTTCATGCCGTGTAGCTGCTAATGTCAAATTGTGTGCAGCAGGCTAGCAGTTTTCCAGGGCCATGAGGGCATGATTTAGTTCTGTGATTTGGCATTAATATGGTGGAACCACAGCAATGCACCCCTACAGATGTACAAAGCAATGCTGCACTTTATTTTTAAATTACCCATCGAGGAGTCAATAAACACAGCAGGGCAAGCTTCTTTTCTACCAATCAAACAGATGGTAAACTGCACAGAGAGGAAAAAGAAGTTGCTATTATTGTCAAAACCTAGCATTTCAAACTACCCAAAAAAGATTTAACTAAAGCTAGAGCACTTCAATCTTCCCTTTTAATAATTGATGTTTCGGCTCCAGTGGATTTGAGAGAACAGTGGTGCTTCGGAATAACCAAAAGGCCCTGGACACTTTGGCACAAAAGAGCAAATTACAGTCTTGTCCCCATCTAAAGACCCATATTGCCATTGATTGATAAAATTGGGAGCTATGCTTGAACAGTTACTAAGTAATAATGTATGTACAAGGCAATCCGGTAAAAAGGCACATATTATAGAAACTTAGAGGAAATGACATTCTCTAATAAAACTGATTTCAACAAATCACACAAAATCAATGTAGCACCTGCGGTGCAAAATAGTGCTGCTACTTATTTCCAGCAAATGCAATTGTATTACTACATCCTTTCACATTATAGAGATATTAGAGAGGAAAAATGTTTATAATATGCATCCTTTATAGCTCCTCTTGTTGAGTAAAATAGGAGTACTCTTAGAGAAATAATTCACTCAGTGGGACTAGTTTCTGAAAACGAAATCAAAGGAAATTTGGTTGCAAGAAGTTAGATATTTTTTTTCTTGCACTAAAAACAACAAGATCTATGCTTTTACCTCCATTTTTTCAAAATGGAACATTAATTTACTATGTTTAGATTCTTAGTTTTGTGATTAATTTTTCCTGTATATGTTTAGAGCAGCATTTCTCAACCTTTTTTTCAGTCATGACACCCATTTAAAAGAATGCAAAATCTTGAGGCACCCTAGTAAATGTAAAAAAACAATGTGTTGCCCCTCCATAATCCATACCAGACCCTCATCTGAGATAGTGGATCTGATATTAATTTTAAGGGGTACCTCATGCAAAAAGCACACACACACAAAATGGGGAATCCCCGATCACATTAGTCCCCACCTTCATATTAAGACCCTTGACATAAGAGCCATTTTTTACATCAGGAGTACCCTCCCCCCCCTCACAGTAGGATCAGGATCCCCCTCTTCACATGACCCTGTGTGAAAATGTTGAGGCACCCCTGAGGGGGCCACTGCGGTAGACAAAGGCTGGTTTACAACACCATTGCTAGGATTAGGTTCACATTCGATACAGTTCCTTGAAGAGGGCAATAGTGAGTAATTGACTCAGCTTGTTGCTCCTCACTTGCACCTCTCTTTTATGTATTGTGCACTAAGGCATGTTTTTTGGGGGGTTTTTTAATTCACATAACTGATCATCCAGCAAAACTATGTACATTTGTTCTGTGCGAAATAACTAACATTCAGATATTAGTTTTACTGATTTTTTGCACTATTTATATTAGGGATGCACAGATACTTTTTGAGTACCAGTGCAGATACTTGGCATTTTCATGAGAACTACCAGGGTTGCATCGGTTGCAGCTGGGACCTGGCTCTGGCACTCCACCACTGTCCTAAAATCATTAGTCTGTATTATTTTAGAAAAACTGTCACATGACAATAAACAAAAATGTATCAGTACTCGTACTTGTAAGTACTCGGCAAGTACCAGTACTCGTACTCCACCACGCTGCCAGATTGACAGTTGGCTCTGCCTCTCTACAACCAAAGCCAGTTGTGCCCACCTCCTCTCCTGTCTGTCCCTCCAGTGAGCACTGGAGGAATAGAGAGAAGGGGGGGGGATCCCCACAAAGAGCGGTATCTGGTAGTCTTTGCTTTCCACATGCAGAAGATCATGAGCTTGGCGATCAACGGGTGGTGATCGCTCAGTTCTCGATCTATAGAGCCAGCGTGTGACAGCTGCAGTGGCCATAGTGAAGATCAGAGTCAGCGCTCACCAGGTGGTTAGTATTAATCATATTTTCTTGCAGTGAGCTGCTTTTTTATTTATTTTTTTGGTGACAACAGTGACTTGTCAATTTTACTACTTGGTAGCACTTTGGTATAGCTGTTCATTTTAGTTGCGCATTTATCTCAGTTAATTACCTTGTTTGTCTTGACATCGCTTGAACTCTGCCTGCCCTGACCTCTGCTGCCTTTCTTGATTATACGTTTCCTCTGAGTTCTGATTTTGACTCTTGGCTATGATCACCACTCTAAACACCTTGTGGCAATACTCCTTGACTATTCTTCGATCTTATCCTCTGCCAGTAGCTCCACCTGGCTGCATATAAGCAATACACCCCATTCATTCTTGTGCAGTCCAATAAGCTGCACATCATACCACAATGGACCAGAAAATACATCTGCACAATTTGTAAAGATGCAGCATACCACAACGCAGAGTAGTGGGTTGTTGTGTGTTGTGGTGCACTGCAACTCAGGTGCATTGGAGGTCTATTGCTTTAGTGCATTGGGGTGCTATTTGAAATGAAAATGAAATGCAAAGCGGTACTTGCGTTGTGGCAACATGCATTACTGCAATGCATACGTGAAGTCATCAAAAATAGTTATAGGTAGGAATGAGCTCAGGTTTGAACCAATCCCAGTCCGAACCTGAGCTCATCTGAACCCAGAAGCTAAATGAGGTCACTCACCCAATCAGCTGTGGGCTGGGAGTTCCCTACTCTGCAGCTGCACATAAACAAAGAGTCAGAATGGTTGTGTTGGCATCATTGACCTTATATGGACACAGGGTCATATTAGGTCAATGTATTTGACCAAATAAAGTCATGTGGCCATATAAATGTTCAGAGGAGCTCATCCTTAGTTATAGGCTTCCACCAATGGGGTCATTCCAGCCACCATTACAGGCCATGGCGACATCCTGTGTCTATTCTGTTGGATGTCCTCTGCCATCCTCACTTCTCTGCTTGGATCTAAAGATCATTACAGTTACTTTGTAAGATATCCAATGATTAGTCCGATCTATTGAAGTTTTTTTTTATATTTTTAGAATTCATTATGTTCTCATTTTGTATACCTATGTGTGTTTGCGATAATTACCACAATTTTGTATTTTTAACAAGCACAGTTTACTAACAAAGCCTTGAAGCCGTGATTTCAGTGCTATTTTTAGTTGTAGTGGATTGGTCATGCCAATTAACTCACCAATTGCTTTTCTCTCTTTTCTCTTGCTCTCTGCAGGTAAAAGTGACCCATTTTGTGTAGTTGAGTTGAACAATGACAGACTGATGACTCACACTGTGTACAAGAAGCTTAACCCCGAGTGGAAAAAAGTGTTCACATTGTAAGTCATGAACAAATAAGACATTCATTTATATAAATTACAATATATTTAAAATGACTCTCATATAAGTCAACATTGGCCATAGGGAGTTTTGTAGATTTAATGTAAGGTGAAGCCTGGTAAGGCCACCAAAGAGAACATATGTCAAGGGAAATGGTGGGAAGCAACTAAATGCAGTCAGTTAAAAATGATGATCTTTTTAATAACCAAAAAGCTAATAAAAGACAAGGGGTCAGTGGTGAACAACTAAAAACAAAGATCATGAACTCATAGCAACCAACTAATATTGACTGTAACCACACCAACACATTACGCAGACACTGTCACTTTGCTCTGAATGGGAAAAGTAACAGTGCCTCTTAAAAGTTTCAATTTAAGGCTCCTGTATGACAGTCTAAACAAGCACTAAATATAGTTACTATGCATAACACTAGCCTCACACAGTAAACAAAATATACCTTTACCTGCCCTGACTGAACCAAATCCTCCTTCTATCGTGTCTCATGCATTTTCCATCCCAGACACAGCAGCTCACAGCTGAGAGGGTTTCAGCAAGAGAGGCAGTGCTGCCATACCAGAAAACAGTGGCAGGACTAGATGTGGCTAGGTGGTGATTGACAAGCTACAGGGTTCTGCATCAGCCGGGACAATGCTGATAGCCATGCCCCCAGCAGCATTTCTCATCCCACTGTAGTGCAAGCAGATAAAGCCTACAATGTAGTGGCAACTCTGCTCTGAATTCAGGAATCTGCATTAGGTGCACTTCACTGGCAGGCTCAAAAGGTATTCGTTGGACTTTGCAGGGGGACTGTGAGAAATCTGAAGCCGCAGATGCAAATGATAATTAAGTGCTGCAGCACATAGTTTTTTAATGGGATGCCATAGTTGTGAGGCAGTAGCAATAAACACAGAAGCAGAAAGTATGACATACTTTCCTTGATTAAAGAAAGTGCTATTTTGGGAACAGCAGATGGTCATGTGAACAAAGCTCAAGCATTTGTAATGTAAAGATCACAGTTGAGATTGGCTGATGCTGCCCTTCTGTATACAGTGGTACCTCGGTTCACGAACTTAATTCGTTCCACGATTCTGGTCGTGAACCGAATCAAACTGTGATCAGACCCCGATCCCGACTAGAGGAAACCACGACCAGTGTCAGAGCAGGGATGATGACTGCGGTTGTGTTTGTCACCCGAGTTCGTGAACGGAAGCAACATTTTGCTGAACTACCTGTTCGCAAACTGAAGTGTTCGTGAACCGAGGTACCACTGTATATTGTGTACCCAAATGGCTAGACATTCAGGTCAAACTGAAGTGGGATCCTGAAGAAGGGTTTTTAAAAGGCAATATAAGTATTCTGTGGCTTCAACTACTATTTATGTATTATGCAAGCTGGTAGAACTAAACATAGATGTTTTTTTTTAATATACAGGTAATACGTTATAGTATCTGCCAACAGTAAATATTACAAAAAAATTGTTTAGGCTACTTTTTTTTTTTTAAGATAACACTGATGCATAATGCATATTGAATTACTGATATAATTATCTTTGTTTTACATATTCTACCCCAATGTTTTTGTCTTTGTTAAAATAATTTTGCAGTATATCCCACAATGGCTTTAAATGATACTATACAATGACAATGTAGATGCATTATATTTTTGAAAATAAACCAACAGTCTTTTCTCTTATGACATTCAAGAACCTCCAGTATAAAAGGATACAGTACATCTTATATCTACAGTATACCATGAACTGTGCCTTGTTATATGCTCTAATTACCTGTAAAATGAACTGCAAAGGTACAGTATATCATGTACTGCAGTGTTAGCTATATAGTACAAAATATATATATTTTTTTTGATTGGATACCTTTAAATGGTATTAGGACATGCAGAAAGCTGTGTAAATTTTAACTACACAGCCCTTAGCCACTAAGAGATCTTCCCTGACAAGAATAATAGAAAGATGAACGAAAATGCTGCATTAATATGTATGACAATAAACATGAAAGCACAAGTTATATATACTAGTGAATCATTCAACATTTTGCTTTGTATATGATTATCACTGAATATTGCAATGAACCTCAGAGATTAATAAGTGTAAATGTGAACACAAATAAGATGATCTGTGTATGCATGTGAATATTTATAGAGTATGAATTCAATATTCATCCTGTGTATAAACATACACATAAATATGTGACCTTCAGGGGAGGGGTATGCCATTCCTTCAGGATCCAAAGTTTATGTAAAGCCAGTTTTGGATAGAGAAGGGAAAGGTTAAATCTGTCAGTTTTTTTGCTGTTTGTGTCCATCGGGGAGATTTACATTTCATTACTGTCCTGTAGATGCACAGGAAGTAAGAAGAAATCTCTACAGTATAAGGTGAATTCTACTCAGACATTTGTCACTGAAACAGATGTTGCCATTGTAAGATTTACACTTGCCTCTTGTTCTAGTGACAGATGTAACATTTTGAATTTCCCATCACTTTCTTTCTGGGTGACAAATAGAGAGGGTGAATATATACTTAGTGGGGAACCAGACAGATATATATAT